ATTTTTTTAATTAATGATTTAAATTTTTTTTTTTTGTTATTTGATATCTATATTTTCATTTTAAAAGGGTATGTCATCATGTTTTTTACATAGTCTTGGTTAAAACGATATTTACGAAAGGAAAAAATAAAAATTTTATGTTACGCAAGAGGTTATGAAAATCGGCAACGATAAAAAAATTCTTATAAAATAATGCAGAAGAAAATATGCTAAAGATCCTGCACTGTATTTTTAAGTCGCTAAGAGTTTTTATAAAGAAATTGTACGTGAAATTGCGTTACATTATTTTATTTTTGTAAATAACTTTCGTATTTACTTGATTGTTAATAATTGAATTACAATATAAAGTAAAATTGTATTGAAGTTTTTAATTAATTACAGACCATTAAATATATTTAGATTGAATACAAAAATGGAAAAAAAAATTGTAAAAGATATTGGGAAGAGGAAGTTTCTTAGATCAAGCAAAAACAAACTTTTTTATCATAAATGAGGCTGAACCAGCTATTACATGTACATATCTAATTTAAAAAAATTGTTTTGAATTTTAAATTTTTTGTTAAAAATTAAAATATTGATTTTTTTTTTCTTAAGGTCTTCAACTCCCTACTGGAATGGATGTTCTTCAACACATTGTCTACAGAAGATCACTACTTCCTCATAATGTTAAGAAGTCAGCAATTTTATCATGCCCTCCTTACAAGATTCAGGGTTACAAAAGATGTGAAGTAGATGTTTGTGAATGCATTTTAGGCTTAATTAAAAGACCATGGCTAAAAGCGGGATTTCAAGTAATGTCAGATAAAAGTATTATCAAGAACCTTATGAAGATGTACAAGAAGTATTCAGATTTGAGTAGAAATAAATGCAGAGGAACAGCTAGAGACAAGGTTAATCAAGGGGAGTTTATTTCATTTTTGAAAAAGCTGTTTTGGATTGGTTCTACAGATTTAAAGAACCAAATTAGGAAGGATAAAAAACGCTCAGATAAAGATAAGCACGATGATTTAACTTTTTTGGAAGACCAGGAAGGACCGAGATATTTTAGTTTGGGATCAGAAGATAGAAAATTTAGCAAAAAGGTTTTGTGTTGTTTTTATTGGGTTAATTTGACGTTTTTTATTCAAATTTGCTCATTTAACATACATTATTTGTTAATACACATACACTATGTTAAAACAAATTTTAGGTTTCTGAAGGTGAGAGGAAGAGGACAAGGCTAGAAGACGAATCTCCGAAGATTGGCGATACCTCAGAATTAGATTTAAATTTCACTGACACTAGCGCTGATTCTGATTCAGAATTTGAACCCGAAGTTTGGCATCATAGAAGAGCAGATGATTGCAACATTACTGCCAAAGTCCCTAAGAATATTTTTGATGGAAATGTATCTATCATAGCTACAGCAAATGATATCTCCCCCAATGTCTTACAAAAAGTAACTGGAGCAATTCTTCAAGATTGTGGAGTTGATATCGCAAAATGCAAAGCCAGTGCTTCAACAGCATTAAGGAAGATGAAAAAAACTGCCAAGGATACTGCAGAAATTGCTAAATTAGATATAAAGAAGGCCGTGGAAAAAAGCCGTTGTCCCTGTATAATTCATTTTGACGGAAAGACTTTGTTTGAAATAAATCAGGGAAAAGACTAAAGAATGAAAGATTAGCTGTGCTCGTTAATATTGAGGGGGTGTCGCATCTTCTTATAGTACCTGCCTTGCCGTCTTCTTCAGGTGAAAATATGTATATAGGAATCATGAAAATACTAGAAGAATATGACCTCATTTCAAAAGTATGCGGAGTATGCTTTGATACAACTTCAAGTAATACTGGTTCTAAGAAAGGATCACTTACTAGGATTGCAAGAGAGGTTGACAAATACCTTCTTCTACTAGCATGTAGGCATCATATCATTGAGCTTAGAATGGTTCATTTCTGTGAAGCAGTGATAAAAGAGAATAGCGTAGGGCCTGAAAATCCTTTATTCGTAAAGTTTAAACATATGTTTGAGAACCCTAACTTCAAATACGACGAAAATAGCCTGACCTCTCTTGATTGGAAAACCGTGGAAGTAACAGTTTTGAAGGAAGCTGCAAGGAAAACTTTAGATTACTGTGAGACCTATATTACTAAAAAATGCAATATGAGGAATGACCGAAGAGAGTTGGCTGAGCTAACCATGCAGTATTTATCCCCTTCTGCACATTTCAAATTAAAGAAAACTGGAGCTGTTCATCATGCTAGGTTTTTAGGCAAGAGTTTATACTACCTTAAACTTCAGCTTTTGTGCAAGCAACTGACATTTGTGCAAGAAAATGATAGTCTACGCGAAGATTTAAAACTCATCAGCGAGTTCATAGTATGTTTTTACACAAGGTGGTACCTTCAACCACATAAAGCAATTCAATCTCCTGCGTCTGATCTTGATGCAATCTTTCAGATGAAAGAGTATAAGAAAGTTTGCTCCAATGCGGAGGCAGTAGACACAGTGTTAGCATCTC